GCGTCTGTCCTCGCTGCCTCATAGCCTGGATTCGTGTCCTACCCGCAGTTGACATCACACCACCTGTTGACCTGGGCAGCTGGCGTCGACTTCCTGCGTCCAAGTCTCGAGTCTAGATCCCATTTTTCGCCACGTAGTCATCTTCCCGTGCGATTCTTCTTCCCTCTCGGAGCATGCCTCTCGCATTCGTGTACACCTTTCACTGATCTTCTAGGTTGTGTCGCACCGCCCGCGCGCGTGGACGTGCGACTCCTCCTGTAGCCCTGCTTCACGGTGGCCAGACTACTGTNTCCGCCCCAAGTCTCGAGTCTTAGATCCATTTTGGCACGTAGTCATCGTTCCCGTGCGATTCTTCTTCCCTCTCGCGAGCATGCCTCTCGCATTGCGTGTACACCTTTCAGATCTTCTAGGTTGTGTCGCACCGCCCGCGCGCTGTGGAAAGACCATGCGACTCCTCCTGCTAGCCCTGTCTTCACGGTGGCCAGACTAACGGTCTCTGCTCGTGTTCTGCCTGACGACGTAGCGACCCGCGTTTTGGTCAGAACGCACCGGGCACCATGCTGGGTATTTATTACCCGCCGCCCTGCGCAGCGCGCCCACTATTGGGATTTATACCCCGCCCCCGCAGGCGGCCTACCATGCTGGGTATTTATGTACCCCGCCCCCGCCAAGGCGGCCCCACTATCGACCAGCAGCGAGAATCCGTAGAACCTGCGTGCACGCACATAAACGCATGCGACGCGTCTCCCTATCAGGGCATGGTAGCCAATCGCCTTCGTCGATAGTTACGGGCAGGCATGACCCGCTCCCCGCTTTCTCACCGACAGTCTCACATGCTCACCGTAAGCCGTTCTACGTCGACTTTCCGCTGTTACCTCGGCCGTCACCCGCAGCCGTCTGCGTTAAACCCTCACGGCCTACTTCGTCTCATCGCCGGCCTTCTGCTCGAGTTTCCACGGCGTAACTTCTCTTCCTATCATCTTCCTCTCGGTCGGTTCTCTTGTCCCGGGGTTAGCGGACACCACTGTCCTCTTTCGTACGGCAGGACGACACGACGTTCTTCTCTTCGTACGGCAGGGACGACACACGTCTATCTTCGTACAGCAGGAACGGCCACCACGTCCCTCTTCTTTCACAGCAGGCGACTTGACACACGTCCTCTCTTCGTACGGCGGGGACGACACACGTCCTCTCTTCGTACAGCAGGAACGCCACACGTCCTCTCTTCGTACGGCAGGAACGCCACACGTCCTCTCTTCGTACGGCAGGAACGCCACACGTCCTCTCTTCGTACGGCGGGGACGACACACGTCCTCTCTTCGTATGGCAGGCAGGGACGACACACGTCCTCTCTTCGTACGGCTGGGACGACACACGTCCTCTCTTCGTACGGCAGGCAGGGACGACACACGTCCTCTCTTCGTACGGCTGGGACGACACACGTCCTCTCTTCGTACGGCAGGCTTCTGCGTCGACCTCCCAGGCTACTTCCGCCAACAGTTTCCAATGCGTGGCGCAGTACCCTCTCTGGGCGGTGGAGAGTGTTTTGATCGAGTAGGCGATGGCCCGCTCCTCCCCATCCTGCTCCTGAGACAGCACCGCACCCAGGCCGGTCCCACTGGCGTCAGTGTCCACCAAGAACTCGACAGGATTTCCTGCCACTTTCAATTTCACTCTCCATGAGGGCCGATTCTGCACTGACCCTAACAATCCTCGTTTGCTACGTCGCCGTACTCGCTGTCGGGCAGCGGCCGCCGGCGCCGGCCGAGCCCTTACAAATTTCCCTGTACCTGTCCGGCCGCTGGTTCGGGTTCCCTGCTCTCATTCTCGGAAGGTCCCGCGAATCCATCGGGTCTTGGTCCCGGTCTTCGGGCTGCTTCTGTGTACGTCGGCCAGTTTCTTCCAGCCGCACCGTAGGGCCGTCCCACACCTCGTTGTCGCAGGCGCGGGCAGTCCCGACTGAAGTGGCCCCGCTCCCGACACTCGTAACACAGGCCACCTCCTCCTCTCAGTCCGCTCTGCCTGTCAGGTCCCCGCGGTGCTTGGTGGGCCGCGTTCGACAGCTCCCGATCACTCACCAGTTCCCTGAGAAGTCGTGCGATCTCCTTCATTTCCCTAATCGACTCGGTGCTTCTCTCTCGTGACCACTGTCTCCTTGCTTCGGGATCTAGCCCTGCTGCGGGGGCTCCCGACCGAGGTGGCACTTCGGGGGCTCCCGACGGTGGTGGCACTTCGGGGGCTCCCGACGGTGGTAGCACTTCGGGTGCTCCGGGGGCTCCCGACGGTGGTGGCACTTCGGGTGCTGCGGGGGCTCCCGACGGTGGTGTCCTCCCTACTTCGGGTGCTGCGGGGGCTCCCGACGGTGGTGCCCTCCCTCTCTCTATAGCGGCCTCTAACATTTCCATCAGGCAGGTCGTCCGGCGTCTTGCCTCGCGTCTCCACGCTCCCTCTTCTTCTTCTTCTCGCTCTTCCTCTTATATGTGCGCCAGCGGTCCCTCTATCTCACTGGCAAGCTCTTCCTCGCCTCCACGTGTGCTCCTTGTCTGTCGTCTCGATGTTGCCATCCTGTCCGCAGAAATCCTGGTCTGTACGGCGCCAGTGTAACGTTTTTCCTTCCTTTGCCACCTTCTCGCCCTCTAGCCTATGTCTGGATGTGACTGTGTGTGTGTGTGTGTGTGTGTGGTGTGTGTGTGTGTTTTGTGTGTGTCTTGTGTGTGCGTGTGCGTGCGTTGTGTGTGGTGTGTGTGTGTGTGTGTGTGTGTGTGTGTGTGTGGTGTGGTGTGTGTGTTGTGTGTGTGTTGTGTGTACACAGTGTGTGTGTGTGTGTGTGCGCGCGCGCGCGTGCGTTCGTGTGTATGTGTGCTGTGTGTTGTGTTAGCAAATTCTTATATATTGCTATCCATGCATACTCCAAAAGCACGCAACTGGTCTACGACAGTATAGAATAGTATAAAGGTGAATGAGTGCAATTACCTAAAGTATTAACATGAGATTAAATATTTTATCTTTGCATTCTCCAAAAGCACTCACTGTTCAACACCAGTTGCCCTCAGCAAGGCAGCGATGAATGGTACAGACTTTAAGCTACCAGCAGGTCGTGACCTTCCAGATGTGAGCCGGCTACGTGTTGAATGGAACGACAGAGATCGTGTGCCAATTGATGTCAATTCCAAATGATTATCTGCGTCAATTTAGAATGGTCTGGGAGCCATATCCCGTCATGTTATCAGTAAGTACAGTAAGTCCTAGTACAGCCACCATTCAATTAGTTATTATTATTATTATTATTATTATTATTGTTGTTGTTGTTGTTGTTGTTGTTGTTGTTGTTGTTGTTGTTGTTCCTGCTGCTGCTGTTGTTGTGGTGGTAGTGGTGGTGTTGGTGGGGATGGTGGAGGTGGTGGTGGTTGTTGTTGTTGTTGTTGTTGTTGTTGTTGTTGTGTGTTGTTGTTGTTGTTGTTGTTGTTGTTGTTGTTGTGTATGCGTGTGTGAGGGAGAGAGCATGCTTTCGTTCGATCGTTCGCGCTCCGTTATTATGACTTTCAGTTTGATAGTGTGATTCGTAACTCGTACATTTTGTTGACGCAATGGTGATTTTGCTGTTTTCGTTATTTCTAAACTATTCATCAAGTCGTGGTGTGCCCGGAGCTAATACCACTAGTCAACGGGTACATTTTATTAACGAGCTTTAACTACAATAAGACGGTGACGTTCTGGTGTAACGATGGATACACATTGATTGGAAGCGATACTCTTACCTGCGAGCTAAACACCCTCGCCAAGAGTGCAGGTGGACTCTCGGAAACAAGTCTCACTCTATCTATCTATCTATCTATCTATCTATCTATCTATTTATCTATCTATCTAATCTAATCGTATCTCATCTATCTTCATCTATTATCTACCACCTATCTACTATCTTATCTGATCTAGTCTAGCTAGCTACTATCTATCTAGCTTATCTAGCTATCTAGCTATCTAGCTATCTATCTATCGTATCTATCTATCTATTATCTACATCTATCTATCTCTCTATCTACTATCTATTGCTCGAGTCTACCTATCCTATCTATCTAATTATCTATCAATCACTATCTATCCTATCTGATTCTATCTATCTACATCTACTATCCT